CTGACTCGCACTTGTTTCTCACTTTGAATGAATCACTGCCTTCTGCACTGATTCATTTTGGTCCCCGTGGATCAGAGACTTCTTCTTTGATCCACTTTGGTCCGCAAAAGTACTTGACGTATGCAAACGTGTGATTGAGTGTGGGTGTGTGCTAGCTAGCTGGCGAGCGTGTGTGTTAGTTTATAAGTCGTCGTTGTAAGAAAGGGAGCCATAGCAAATTCCGACTTCGCTCTGACTCCCTTTCGGGTCTCTAAAGCAGCAACCTCCTCGCGGTGAGACCCGGGCAATCGGTGTCATCTTCGGTTCAAAAAATATTGCGAATTGCAATGAGTTTTGAGTCGAGGATGATAGCGAGCTAATAGCTGCTATCAATTCTCAATAAAATTCTCTTTGATATTGTAAAGTAGGGTATAAAATTGTAACAATTGTATTGCATGATTTTTAAATAAAAGTGTGTGGATTTATATTTTATGTCTTGGCTCCGAACCAGTTTTCGTTCGCAAATTGTTGAAATTGGTGTTCCTCCGATCGGTGGTCTCTCAGGGGCTCGCTCATGGGTGTGGTCCGTAATCGAGTACGGGGGGTAGCGTTCCCGAGGTACCCGAGACGTTTGTTGGTCGTTAGATACAAATTTAAATTTTGTAACTGTTTGTAACTACTAATCGTTCCTATGCGTCCGAAAAATCAAACTAGAGGGGTACTTACATGAATAGGAAAATGACATATACATAGAGGTATATAGAGTCGCAACTGCCGATGTGCGAATATGCATCCAACATAACCACAATCCAATCTTGCAACTAGGTTTAGGTTAGGTTTATTAAAGTGATAGGGAAATAATTTTTCCCTTTTACATTCCCCTTTGTTATCAGTAGATGGTTGTCAGACCTGCCATTCTTATTTACGTTCTCTTATTATATCACATCACATTATCACTTGATGTATTTTAGTATATATATTTATGTATTATAGTAACGAAATATAGGCTAGTATAACTTAGTTCTTGGGGTTCACAATCTATTGGGAATCTGTATTATAACGCAAGCTCGCATCTACCTCCGATTCCACGCTGACAGTCCTTCCACTTAAGCGCCATCTTATAATCACCGATATAACTAAACTTGCCAAATCTTTTGCTCTATATTATCGATATCATGAATTTTGATAATAAAACGGTTTGGGTTTACGGGATGACACTTAACTACCTGGAATCAGCATCTTTTTCGATATTTATTGGTATCATTCGAAGGTTCAATGCAGTGCGCGATTGTCAGACTTTCATCGACAAAAATCATCCAATGGCAAAACTGCTTGGATTCCATAGCTTCGGCACAATCAATTTTTACACTACTTTCTAAGACTTATATTACCAAATATTTGCATAATTCTCATAAGGTCTGACATTTGCGCATTGCATTGAATCTTTCTCATTCGGATGATACCAATAAATATCGAAAAAGATGCTGATTTAAAGTAGTTAAATGTTACCCCGTAAACCCATATTTTCGTCTCATTTTGTCGGTATCTGTGTCCTCTACCGTTATCCCCTTGCTAGGGAGTCTAGCCTCTTAACAATTCTGTTGTCGTTTCAATATATTCATAACCAGAAAAATTATGATTACGTTACGGAAAGTCCAATCCTTGTGATTAATTTATATATATATATAAAATGAGGAAAATGAAATTTTTAAAATAGGGAATTATACTTTAGTTGCCCCAGTTGTTTCCAAATTTGATACGTTACTGGTCTATAAGCGGAAGAGTGGGAACGGCAGTGGGGTCCGTCGTAAAAAATGGCTTTACTCGCGAGAAACGTCTGCAAATTATTTTCGCAGGTAATGCAAATTCAATTGAAACAAAGACTTTCTATTATTTATACGATTGTTAGAGCTTTCGGCATTCCGTCAGATTGAAATATTATCGAGTTTTATGCAGTAATTTCTTCAATGGAGTGATACGTGAACGTTAAGAGTACACCAATGGTTAACGCAAGGACGTTGCATATGAAATTTCTTTTTCTTATAGACATATGAAAATTTTCTAGTTTAGCGGGAAAATTAATTTGCTGAGACGTTTTGGTAATTTGTTCATTAAAAATAAGGAGTTTTTTTCTAAATTCAATTAAGAAGATCGATAAAACGAATGACTTCGGTGATTCTGTTATTCAATCGTTATAAATATAGCTTTTTAATGCGGAATGAATGATTTGACTATACGACTTAGAAATGTATGCAAAATGATATTTATAAGTCAATAATAAATATTTTTATTTGCAGACTGCCCAGAAGGGATCTATTAGGGCACTGCATGTAGGAGCAGTACGTCAACAAGATACTGTACGTATTTAAGTATTTGTAGCAAATACTTCGATATATCATTTAATTGAAATAATTGTTATTTCAGGCAATTGAACAAGAAGGAAAAGTAAAATGTACCCTCATACCAGGAGATGGTGTTGGACCAGAATTAGTGGTCTCGGTGCAAAGTGTTTTCAAAGCTGCCAATGTACCGGTTGAATTTGAGCCATACTTCCTTTCGGAAGTAAATCCAACATTAAGTGCACCACTCGAACAAGTGTCCAATAGTATTGCAAGGAACCGTGTATGCTTGAAGGTACCTACATATTTAAATTGTTCATTGGATAATCTTAATAATAATATTATAAATTAATAGCTAACGTTAACTATTCTCCAACAGGGAATTCTAGCAACACCGGACCACTCCATGACCGGAGAGCTCCAAACATTGAATATGAAACTACGTAAAAGTCTGGACTTGTATTCAAACGTAGTACACGTAAAATCATTGCCTGGAGTTAAATGTCGTCATAAGAATGTTGATTGTATTATCATCAGAGAACAAACGGAAGGAGAATACTCTGCACTCGAGCATGAATCTGTGAAAGGAGTGGTAGAATGTTTGAAAATAGTCACTGCCACTAAAAGTCAAAGAATAGCAAAATTCGCGTTCGATTATGCCATGAAACACAATCGCAAGAAGGTCACTTGCGTTCACAAAGCCAACATTATGAAACTTGGTGATGGTCTATTTTTAAAATCGTGTCAAGAAATAGCCAAATTATATCCTAGGTAGAGATAAAGCTTATTTTCACAATCTGGTTTATTTACTATAGATTAACAATTATGTTGTTTTAATTGCAGGGTTATATTTGAAACAATGATTGTGGACAACTGTACTATGCAGATGGTATCCAATCCACATCAGTTCGATGTAATGGTATTACCAAATTTGTATGGTAATATTGTAGACAACCTTGCATCTGGACTTGTCGGCGGTGCTGGTGTAGTCGCGGGTGCCAGTTATAGTCCTGAGTGTGTTGTTTTTGAGCCGGTAAGAACGCATTTAATATACAAAATTGTGACAGCATACTTTAAATTGTACGAAATATAATAAGAATTCACTTGCAATTTAGGGTGCGAGGCACACATATTCAGAGGCTGTTGGTAAAAATGTTGCAAATCCTACTGCCATGCTTCTTTGCGCAGTAAAACTTCTGCGTCACGTTAACTTGTCACGCTATGCTGAACAAATTAGGGATGCGTTGAACCGCGTCTTGAACGACGGAAAAGTTTTAACAAAAGATTTAGGTGGACAAAGTTCTACAACAGATTTCACGAATGCTGTAATAACTTACCTTCGTTAAATTGTTACTATTGTATGATCTCTGTTAATGTCTGAGAGACTCGTGTAACATAGAATGTTATAGAATAGGCACATCGTGCTCTCTGTGCATTATAAAAAAAGGTAAATACGATCATGTCGAATTGTACAGTATTATCCGAGCACAGTCTATACCTAACTTATCTGTTTTAAGTTAATATTTTATTTAAATCAATTGTATTCTGTCAACAAAATTGTTGTACTAATTCAATCTATATTGTATTTATGGTCAAAATTGTATTTGTTAGACAACAGTGTACCAGTCGTATGATAACAATGTAATACTCAAATTGTACATTAATAAATTGTATTACCTTGTACTTATCTTAATATATTTAGCAATACAACTTTATTTATTCGAAGTTACACTATATTTTAATTATCAATATGATACAGATCTTTAATTGTAAAAACATACCGTACTGTATAAAACAGAAGTTTGTACATGACATGGCAATTATATGGAACAAAGGTTAATTAACTATACATTCCGCTTTTTGCTTATGACAGTAGAGGATACATAAACCAACTGTCAAAAAGCACGTGCATCAATGGAGACTCAGGAGTTAGATTTGGAGTTGATACGTCAAAATATCGTAAAAAATCACCTCCAACTTACAGCTCTGATCCAAGTAATTATCATTAAAAAACGAATACTTCTCTTAACAATACAAATGTCAATATAACCTGGAACACTAACGTCAACAACGGTCTATTTTCAACAAACGTTATAAATTAACAATTGTTTAGTTAATTTACTATTAATCGAATGTTTTATAAGGCTTTTGCGTTTTAAAAAATGTATACATCGGTATATTTTAATATTATATTAATAGTTCTAACCTCGTTTGAATTATGAGAAATACAAACAGCTGTTTTATTTTGTTTTTTTTTTACTAAATCAGTATTTTTTAGGATATACAGCAATGCACTGGACCCCTACAACTGCTCAATGAATTGAATAACGAAGGCAGGATAAAAAGGGAAGCCTTACAGTCATCTTTATCCAAACTAGAGTCTTTGATCGAAAGAGAACTTGTGGAAAAAAAGAAAGCGGAGCTTCAGGCAGAAATAGATACTTATAAGCAACAGTACAAAAACTCTTTAGCAGCATTTTGCAAGGCCAATATTTTTAGCAAATGTATGATAGACAAAATTTCCAAAGAGGAACTCCTATCGATGCCTGAAGAACACCAGGCAGATTTACGTAGAAGGCATGACAGAAGGAGCTTAGCGAACAAGTCTAGCCAACTCTCGGACAAACTTTTAAGTATATCCAGACATTTGGCAGAGACAACTCAAAGAAGTGCAGATGCATTGGATACATTAAGTATACTTCTCTCTTGTACATTTCATTCAAGTATAGTTGGACATGATTTATGGAACATAAAAATTGTTGTATATTACAGTAACTTCATCTGACAAGGTGTCTAGCACCACAGATGAATTGGAGCACCAACAGCAAGTAATAGTTCAATCAGGAAAGTTATTAGGCAAATATGGTAGAAGAGAGGTCACGGATAAAGTTTTATTAGCACTAGCGTTTGCATTTTTTCTCGCTTGTGTTTTCTATATTTTACAGAAGAGGTTGTTTTAAGAGTACAAAATTGGTTTACACGGAACCGCGTTATTCGCATCGTTGTAACGGTAGAAACATTTTCTGAAGAGTGCGAGGAACGTGCATAATAGAATTCCACAATTGCATTTGTTAAATACTAGGATCATCACCAGAATCGATTGAATGACTCCAGTTGATTCAGAATCGTGGAATCCTGTAATAAAAGAATAGTATTAATATTAATTCACAATGTACCCATTCTTCAACTTTTAACTATAGTTTTATTAATTTGATTATACATTGTTGCAGCAATTCATGAATTCCTCCCGAGATATGACTCCGTCCTTATCGGTATCCATCTTTTCAAAAACCATGTCCACGTGTCTGTCGACCATACGCTGGATAGTCTGTCCATTATGCAGCATTTCGTAAATCGCGGATATTATGACCAGCATTTCCTTTCTCGTGATGTAACCGTCCCCGTTCAAGTCGTAAAACCTAACGGAGAGGAGGGCAAGACTAGAAAGTCAGATATCGAGCATGTAACTTTCATTGCTTCTGACCGGTCACCTGAAGATCCAGGAAAGCTTCTGGTCCAGGTCACCGTTCGCGATCAGAGCTATCTCAGCGAGGAGATCTTGGAAGCTGACAACACCGTCACCGTCCCTGTCGAAGGTGTTGAACACTATCTGAGTGTACTTCGCCGGATCTCCTAGCGGAAACAGTTTTGCGTATGCCGGCTTCAGGTCGTTCGTGGTCACCGCGCCTCGCGGACAATACTGTTTAAAGGCGCGATAGAGCTTTCGGATCTCATCCTTCGTGAAGCCCGTTTGGCACGTTAAAGAGGAGAGCCGTTCCGGAAATATATACGGCTGCTGCATCTCGTCGTCTTGCATGTTCTCTACGAAAACGCAGTGAGGTTGTACAGTCGTCGAAGATTCTAAAAGTATTGAAAATCGTCTTGTACGATAATTTTTATCTGTGCCAGCGGAGCATCGATTCTTTTAGACAGACGCGCGTTAGATCGGTGGTACAGGGTGCTCAAACGCAAACACAGTATATTTACTTTAAAAAAATATGATTATGCTTTATGTATTTATCATCATTACGCATGGAGATATATGGCTTTTCTATTAGTTTCACCAGAATCGATCGAGAAATCTCTTCATTTTAATCTTCACCAAATTAATTGAGAAAATGAAAGTTCGCAAATTCATAGAATAAAAATGGCTAATCCTCCTTTTATTAGAACTGTGCGTTAGTTTTAATGAGCCAGGAAGCTGGAAATGTGAAAGATCACTTTCTATCCGGCCAGAGTCTACCTGTTTTGCAACACCCTGTATCGGCGGACTAGTGGCATCGGTACAAATTACGTTCGATTAATAATAATAATAATACGGTATCGAATATGCATGCACAGAGAATAACGTACCGGTGATCTTCTGAATGCTTCTCTTCATCTTTTTAAAGCTTCGTTGCATTTTCAACGAGAGGCTCGCACGGTTTCTCACCTGTAGACTGTCTTTCTCCTCCGCATTGAGGCTGTTCGACATTCTCGAAAATGTATCGCTTGTAATGTGAAAAGAATAGTATACACGAAATCTATCTTCTTTATTTTAGAATACAGAAATCATGAGTTACTTGGATGTTGGCATTCTTGGTAGCGCCGCGAACGAAGGGGATGCAGAAGTTCTCGGAATCACCAGTGAAACGGAACTGACGCGCGTGGTGCAGCCGGCGTAGAACAGCGACTTCAGGAAAATCTGTATTCTAAATATTTAGACGATAAACTCCAATGTTCGCGCCTAAATATATTTGCAAGCAATACGTTTTATCCTCGTCGGATGCCGAAGAATAACAAACAGCCTGTCGGGGTGTATTTAACTGCTGCTATAAAATTGGATCGCGTCTAGAAAAGCGTCGATGGAGCAGCAGTTCTCCTACCAATAAACGGTTGGCGGGGTACAAAATCTGAAAACATCTTCGTGGTTCGATTGCGACTGTCTCCGGCGACGAACGATGATTTATTTGTTAGAAACAGACGCGTACAGAGTACCGGTCAACGCATGCCATTCCGCGGTTGAACTTCTTATAATAGAAGCTACTTGTTCATGGGTTTCAACGCGCGTGCCTCTCGCTGAATACTAATATACGGTGTCTACATAAAATACATTTTTTTTCCGCCAGACTCCTATGATTCATCCATTTATGCCGGAGTCTTCCGGTTGCGGTACTTCTGTCGATCCTGTTGGATCCTGGGAAGATATATCATCGGGACACGATGATATCTGTAACAGCCAGTTCACCGTGACCCGGCGTTTATCTTTCAGATTTTAAGAACCCATGAACTTGAATCCAGACTCGCGAATCCGCGAACGTGTTCGCAAGAAAATCACTCGAGAATCGCGAACCCCTTGGCGCAAAACACCGTCGCAGACTTTCTCTGCCAAATGCTATTAATAGTTCGACAGCCTGGAAACCGGCTATTACGGTAATAGGAAATAGTCACGGCTTATTCATGGCGAACCTTAATGAGAACGATTACGCGTAACCTGGCTCTTTGCTATTTACGGAATGACCCGTCGACTTCCGAAATTTTCGGTCTGGTACCGCTGGAAAGAATTGTCTGTTGACGATAATACATTTACAAACGGAATCTATAAACTCCAAGTTATATATATAATATATAATATATATAATAATAATATAATATAATAATAATATAATATAATATATATATATATATATATATATATTCCGTTTGTAAATATATATGTATTAAATAAATGTAGATGCTTCGGTTCGCGCGCGCGCGCGCACGTGTGTGTGTGTGTGTGTGTGTGTGTATACTATACCCACAAGACGATGAATGATGAAATGAAGGTTTTGCGGACTTTTGACGCCGTTCATAACATTCGATGAAATAAATCAGAATTCGATGAAATAAAAAACGAGTTTATCGGTCCAGATGATGGAACAATTGACCTTAATTTCGAGAGATAGCGCGGAGATCATCGGGAACCTTGACACAAATGTTGCTGCGAAGCAGGGTCGTTTGTAATCAAATTCGTTATCACGCAAAAACCAAATTATCACGCGAACCGAATCAATTCCCTGTTACTTTCGCGAAAATACGGAATAATTTTTCTTTCCTTCGAGTAGCTGAGTTTTGAAATTTGTACGAGGATCCGTAGTCTACGATAATTCAGAGAAGAACGGAAATGCAGTTTTTTTGCGCATCAGCGAGCCGAACAAATGAGTAACCATAATTAAATCGGCGTTGCATATATTATCGTGTATTTCTCTTGAGACATAATCCGCTGCACATGCGGAATACCAAAACGATGGTACGCCGTGCGAATAAAAATACAATTTCTACGTAGAAGACAGGAGCATATAGGGACTTCCCCAAGTTCAATGTGACGGTCACGCATGATCCGCCATTGTTACGCAGATTCTGTGATTCGGAACTTCTTTTTTATGTCCGAAAATAACATGCAAATTGTTGTACAATGACAGCGTTTGCCTCTACAACAATCCACAGATTCTAAAGGAATCTCAATGAAATAAAGAGCACCTAAACAGAAATTGATTAGAGATTAAGGAGAGACAATATAATCGCGGATGTGCAATGTATCCAAAGAAATATTAATAAATCATAATAAATAATTCTCGGGGCGGTTTTTTTTTAAATCGAGACTCTGGAAAACAATGCCAGACCAACGGAAGCGCATTTGCAACTTCTTGCAGAGGCGATTTTTTCGGAGCGGTAGGGCAGTCCTGGTATATAAAACAGCAGCAACCATCCAGCATCTCTGCATTACGAGAGTGTACTCGTTACCGCGAGTTACAGCTCAAACTTCTCTTTGAAAATACAACAAATAAAAACTGTTCGTATGTCCAGCGAAGTCTAATCGCCGATTTAGTTCGATCGTAGTGCCGGAGTACCCGGAAGAACGGCAGACGTGCTCGTAATTGGTCTGTTCAAAAAAGTGTGAAGTTCGAAAGCGGGCGAATAACGAGTTCATCAAGCACATGTCGCAACAATTGGCCATCGGACCTTTTAGCATGAAAGTTAGTTAGTGTCTTGCCCCGTGCTTGGTTACCCGTGCGTACATACAACGAATCTGGTCGTTTCGTGAACAGTGGTGTTTACACTATAAATAACTACTAAATAAATAAATACTAATAACTACACGATAAATAAATTGATTATTGTAAGAAAAATTTTAAATGAACTCTCTATGTTGCGCTTCATTTGAAATTGAATTCTGAGATCACCGGTTTATTATTTTTGTCCAGGCGTTCTTCGTCGATCTTTAATCCGTGTAGCTAACTATAGTAGCTTACAATGAAGATTCTGTTCGCATTCTTATTGCTGATCGTCACCGTGACCGCGGCTCCATGGATCGAGATTCTGTTCGGCGATCAGTCCGGTTACAATTATCGTCCGCCGAATCAGGGGAAGCAAGANATATATATATATATATATATATATTCCGTTTGTAAATATATATGTATTAAATAAATGTAGATGCTTCGGTTCGCGCGCGCGCGCGCACGTGTGTGTGTGTGTGTGTGTGTGTGTATACTATACCCACAAGACGATGAATGATGAAATGAAGGTTTTGCGGACTTTTGACGCCGTTCATAACATTCGATGAAATAAATCAGAATTCGATGAAATAAAAAACGAGTTTATCGGTCCAGATGATGGAACAATTGACCTTAATTTCGAGAGATAGCGCGGAGATCATCGGGAACCTTGACACAAATGTTGCTGCGAAGCAGGGTCGTTTGTAATCAAATTCGTTATCACGCAAAAACCAAATTATCACGCGAACCGAATCAATTCCCTGTTACTTTCGCGAAAATACGGAATAATTTTTCTTTCCTTCGAGTAGCTGAGTTTTGAAATTTGTACGAGGATCCGTAGTCTACGATAATTCAGAGAAGAACGGAAATGCAGTTTTTTTGCGCATCAGCGAGCCGAACAAATGAGTAACCATAATTAAATCGGCGTTGCATATATTATCGTGTATTTCTCTTGAGACATAATCCGCTGCACATGCGGAATACCAAAACGATGGTACGCCGTGCGAATAAAAATACAATTTCTACGTAGAAGACAGGAGCATATAGGGACTTCCCCAAGTTCAATGTGACGGTCACGCATGATCCGCCATTGTTACGCAGATTCTGTGATTCGGAACTTCTTTTTTATGTCCGAAAATAACATGCAAATTGTTGTACAATGACAGCGTTTGCCTCTACAACAATCCACAGATTCTAAAGGAATCTCAATGAAATAAAGAGCACCTAAACAGAAATTGATTAGAGATTAAGGAGAGACAATATAATCGCGGATGTGCAATGTATCCAAAGAAATATTAATAAATCATAATAAATAATTCTCGGGGCGGTTTTTTTTTAAATCGAGACTCTGGAAAACAATGCCAGACCAACGGAAGCGCATTTGCAACTTCTTGCAGAGGCGATTTTTTCGGAGCGGTAGGGCAGTCCTGGTATATAAAACAGCAGCAACCATCCAGCATCTCTGCATTACGAGAGTGTACTCGTTACCGCGAGTTACAGCTCAAACTTCTCTTTGAAAATACAACAAATAAAAACTGTTCGTATGTCCAGCGAAGTCTAATCGCCGATTTAGTTCGATCGTAGTGCCGGAGTACCCGGAAGAACGGCAGACGTGCTCGTAATTGGTCTGTTCAAAAAAGTGTGAAGTTCGAAAGCGGGCGAATAACGAGTTCATCAAGCACATGTCGCAACAATTGGCCATCGGACCTTTTAGCATGAAAGTTAGTTAGTGTCTTGCCCCGTGCTTGGTTACCCGTGCGTACATACAACGAATCTGGTCGTTTCGTGAACAGTGGTGTTTACACTATAAATAACTACTAAATAAATAAATACTAATAACTACACGATAAATAAATTGATTATTGTAAGAAAAATTTTAAATGAACTCTCTATGTTGCGCTTCATTTGAAATTGAATTCTGAGATCACCGGTTTATTATTTTTGTCCAGGCGTTCTTCGTCGATCTTTAATCCGTGTAGCTAACTATAGTAGCTTACAATGAAGATTCTGTTCGCATTCTTATTGCTGATCGTCACCGTGACCGCGGCTCCATGGATCGAGATTCTGTTCGGCGATCAGTCCGGTTACAATTATCGTCCGCCGAATCAGGGGAAGCAAGAGTTCAAACGAAGACAGGGAAAAGGTGGAAAAGAACGATGGAAGGAGATCTGCAGAACGATCAATCCTGATCCTTTTGCATTCACGGGCAGAGGGTCCTATCCCGTCGCGCCAATCTGTCCCTGGTAACGATCCGAAGTGATCAAACCATCGCAGGTGCGTTCAAAATATGAATTTTATTGTAACAATATTAGGAAGTATGAAGATATCCACTGGTTATGAGTATTTCAGTCGTTATACAAGTGAACTATTGATCTAACACAAAATTACGCAGTCGTTACATACGCCAGCCGGTATAAATAGCATGTGAACAATGTTTACACGGCGCCATTTGATTTGTACACTGATCAATCGTATCGTCCTGACATGATTTCATGCGATTAGCTCTCGCTGCTAGTACACTAAAGTCTAGAAACGTTTACTGTATTTTGTATGTTACAGTATATCGAAGCTCTCTCTCTCGTCGGTTTTACGTTTCACGTAGAAAAATAAATCATTTATAATTATACAGAAAGATCATGGTGTCGTTGAAGTAACGTTGTCGCGTTACGTTTCGTCCGCGGAAATGCATGGTAATATTGTTATCATCATTACGACTATCGATGGTCTTAATAAATTACGGTTTATATACAGTACACAGTATATAGTATATACAAATAAAAGATCACAGAATTACTGTAGCAGCACGTTCGTACAAAATCTCGATGTCTGGTCGAATCGTTTTCTACGCTAAAGAACATTTGTACACTTTGTGCAGAGTCGGGACACCGTGGACGACGGAAGCGAGAACAATCATTTCCAAACTTGTATCAAGCCGTCCGTGCTGCCAGTCAGAATACAGGTGTTCGACATAGATACGGCAGAGATCGTGTCGTGGTGGCCCGACGGTGGCGTTTCTGGACCCTGGCCACCTTCTTCCGAGTTTCTTGTTCGAACGCTGCTGCCTCCCACGGACGACGACGGCGCGGGCCCATCGTTGGCTAAGACTTCTTGCACGACGTTTGTTCCATCTATCAACCGTTGCCTGGGAAATATAAACCACGGGAATGTATATACAAATGTATATAAGAATTTTTAAATAAATACTGCTAAATAGAGCGATCGTGTTGCTAATACTAACTCGTATGCTAATGAACTTGGAGGGGTGGCGTCGTTGGCTGCAGGTAGCGCGACGTAAGATTCGCTAGGAGTATTCAAATCCCAAAAACGTAGTCTCATGTCGGCACCGCCGGCTAGCAGAAAGCCAAAGCGATCGATGCATCCGGAATATAAGGCGCATACACTGTGACCACCCTGAGAATGGCTGAGAGGCGGAGCACTCGACGCCCAGAGTACCATTTGCCGAAAATCGGTTTCAAGATTCCACATGGAAATCTCGTTGTTTCCCTGCACAGCGGAGATAATCCACGAATGTTCGGTTGGGTGGGTGATTACTTTTCGAACTCTTGCGCCTGAACAGAACGTTACAGAGATTATTCAAGGATCGTGTATTCGTTAAACCCAACTGTGTCCTGATTTGATTACTTTACCGGTGGGATGTTTGATGTTGGTTATCGGTAACTGAAATCGCAAGTCCCAACACGTGTGCACACCCGAACTGGTTCCAAGTGTCAGCCACTGTTGATAATTGTTCACACAAAAGGAAGTAATCACGCCGTTTTTTAGGTCGTTCTCTAAACGCCACGTTGTACCGGGACACCGCAAGTCCCATCCAACCAATGAACCATATAGAGAAGCGTATACTAGAACCGACTGCGATCCTGAGTCCAAGTACTGCAGGTCCACCGCGCATCCTTCTTCCTAAATAATGATTTAATCATGTACCATAGATAGTAACAAAATGGTACACATCGTTAGTTACCTGAAGATCCAATTGTCTGGTTCCAATGATGCTCATTTTGCTCGAATTCGGTTCAATTCTTAAGACGAACACTGTGCCCGATTGACTCGCAGAACTTGCTAGCGACTGCCCCTGATCGCACACTGCCAGGCCAACTAGAGGACCACCTCTGTGCATGTGTGTTTGCCTAAAATGATTCAAGTATATAATCATGCAACGTAATCAACCACGCCTGAAGAACATAATACTTGTACAAGAGCCTAAAGGATTGTTTACCTAGAACGATTAGCTATGTTTCGACCCTCCATTTTACTAGCGTCCCATATCTTAATACATCCGTCCGCAGAGCTACTTGCAAATAGACTAGTGTCTGGTATGGAAACTAGCCTATTCACTGCTGCTCTATGTTCATGGAGATGGGCAACCGAAACTCCCCTAGGTCTCCAGCCACTTGGCAATAATCTTGAGCCTATCGAAGATCACAAATGTTTCATGTAAATCTGAGTACGACGTCTAAAAGTAATGATAATTAATTACCGGTTTGCCATGCAATATTATCAGCCCAATGCTGTGCTCTTAATGCTGCAGCATGCTGCTCTTGCTTCCTGTACGTCAGCTGTCTCACCTCTAATCTACAAGGTGCACACCTGTCTGAAGAATTACAGAAAGTTGTATTTTTTGTAACACATTTCTTTATGCTAACATCAAAGATCATTCTAAGAAAGACATACATTGAATATATGATCGCTCGTGGAGAGAGTGATCGTTTATGCTATTCATATCAGACAAGCTATGCTGAGGTGATAAATGTATATCCCCTCCGTGCAAGCTTTGACTAGGGCTACCGCTACTTCCAGTCATGTCTGACATTTTCACGGTGTGCTGTAATGTATAAAGGAGTCAATAAATATCATATAAAATCTAATCGTTGTGTCTTATTTGTTTAATTACTTGAACGTTATCTTGTGCTGCGAACATCGTACGCCATTCTTGGTTCATCGTTGCGTATGTACCGACGCTATCCGATGTTCTACGATCTAATCGTTTAAATGGTGGCAGACCTAGGTCGGCTTTCGTGTCAGGATATAATATTACAATGTGATGTCGTATCCTGTCCTTCATAGAGCTTAATTCCAGTTTACCATCCATGGATTTAGCTGTACTTTGCTTTGCGTCTACCGAATTCCGATACTTATTAATTTTCATTAAATGTGGTTTCATTATCAGCAACTGATCCTCAACGGTCTCGGTCATGGATTCCGAACTCAGTCGTCTGAAAAGCTATGAGCAGAAAAGTTAAGTTTAAAAATGTATACAACGCGTTTTCCTTGGAACAAGTGTAGATATTAAAACTTGTTAGATAGTGTTATTGACTCACATTTCGTAACGAGGTACTCATTTCGTTATACTGTGGCACGATTCCCGTTACTGCTTTAGCGCGAGCTGCTTGTCTTTGTTCAAGAACTTGAAACAGTTCTTCTACATCGGAATACTTCACGACAGAATCGTAAACAATTCTTGGTATAGGCGGTACCAAAGCTTCCCACAATAAAATCTCGATTTCGATTTGAATCAGAGGATGTTTTAAGTACGGCTGGATCATTGTCTGCACTTTGCATTGGACATCCACCAAGCTGAGTGTTCTTGCCGCGGCGGATATGAAACCGACTATCGCGTGTCTTATCCATAAATTGGGGTGCACCTATGGATGGTATTGTGTTAAAAAATATCAGAATTTCAAAATATAATTTTAAGTATTATTAACAGTGCTTGTTCATTGTTAAGGTATAGGGCCTTACTAGAAAGACTGTAGTCTCATATAGCAGTTGATAAAGCCCGGATTTATGTAAAAGACCCAATTCGGTGAGAGTCGCCATTGCATTGATAGCCTTAGTCGTCACGAATTCTTCAGGATCTGCTAATCCTTGTTGAAGAAGAGGCATAAGTATAGGACTACTGTGCCATCCAACATAAGCAGCTACACCCACGATACACTCGAAGAAGGAGCCCCTTAATTCCTTGTCCTCTTTATCATTTAAGAAAGTGATAACATGACTTAGCAAAATATCGTTCGCTTTTTGCTTGCCAAAAAATACACAGAGTTTATTTATTCCGCTCTCCATTAATGTTTGCTTTACTAAATTCTGGGGATCTGTTAATAACATGGACACAGATTGTTGAACCTAATAATATCACATGATTTAGTATGTAACAGATTTAAAGACAATTACGAATGTATCCAGCTAATTACCATTTCGTGTAATGTCTGAAGCTCGCTATCGTAACTTGGTTTTGGACCTTCTTTATTACTCAAATTCGACAGGTGAGAATTCTCCAAGTAACGTAGCGCTATGTGTGCCAGATGTGCGATATTTTCCGCATATGCAGCCCGAACTATAACTGCTTCGTCTTGTGTGATATGCGCCAGACCTGGTAAAATGTATTCTGGGAAAATATTTACATCTGTCGGCGGAATTGATTTTACAAGGTGCAAACATTTCGTCAATATGTGTATAGCTGATACTCTCACTCGTGGAGCAGGGTCATGAACCAAATGAAACTGTAACAGATTTTATATAAATATCGTGACCAAAACTGGTATTGAACAATGATATTATTCGAAATGTTAAAACTAACTTACAATATAAGGCAAAATGCGGTCCAGTATCGTTTCATCTGAAGTATTTTCTGCTAATTCAAGCAGTATTTCAAGACTCTGCAATTTCGACTGTGAATGATGCAAGCCTCGTATACACGACGTAACCAGCTGAGTTATAATAACCAGACCTTCTAAAGGCTCTGAAGAGGAGAATTCTTTACTATCTGTTTTCTCATCTATCTGGTTTAGATCACTTTTATCGATACTGTGATCACTGTCGCCATCCACAACAGTATTCTCTTCACTATGGCCAGAATCGTGTTTTAATAATTCTGCGCTATTATTAAATTGAATACTCCTAGTTGTTTCCTCTCTATCATTTTTTATCTTTTCATTTTCTTCTGCTTTCAAAATGTTAATAATATTACCGATATCTTTTTTGAGTCTATTTATTTTTTCATCCGGCGACAGAATCGGAGCAGCAGAGAAAATAAGCATATACGACTGCAGAAACGAATAGAAATATTCCGGAAATATCGTACCACGAGCCTGCGCCAAATAAATTTCAGCACTTTTCCTGTTTGCTGGATTTCTTTCCAGCATAGACGCAAGCAATTCACGTATTCCTGGATCCTCTATGGCATCCAGATGCTTGTTCGCAGAGTATTCATTGTTTCTATATGCTTCATGTAGCATAACAAAATAATTTTTCATTATTTACTCATAATATTATTATACATAATAAGTTAGAGACAATTTTTATATATCATATACGCACCTAATAGTTGAGAAAAGTCAAATGGAGGGTGTCCTTCATTATACAACTCTGCTAAAGCACAGCCTGCAGAAAAAATGTCCATCATTGGATGCAAATCACCCGTTTTTAACTCTTGCTCAGATAATAATAATGTATTGCACAATTCTGACGATAATGTTTTCACAAACCGTTCAGGCGCAATGTAACATGTTCTAAAACATTATATTAAAATAAGTGTATAATATAACGATTTAATGAAGAATTAAATCAATTATGGAATGTACCTTCTCCTAGATGTATCAAAAAAATATGAAAAATCAGCTGGATTATCTTCGGGTAAGTAAGTCGGTTTAAAACTTGCAAAATCTGTGAGTAGAATCCAGTTCCAGCTGGTAATCATAATATTTTCTAACTTTATGTCACCATGGCATACTCCAAACTACAGTTAAACAAATATTAATTTTTAGGACTACTAAAATGTCTGTTACACGATTAATTCACTTGTCTAGTTTAAAAAAGAAGAATTTACCCTGATGGTATTGTTTTCAATAATACCTCACCTTATGTGCTTGATGTAATGCATATAAAACTTGAAAAGTTATCCATTTTTTCTCTATAGTTGTTAAAAATGGCCTAGTACTAATTCTATCATAAAGCGAATACTTCACGTATTCTCTCATTATCGACCCTGATTTTTCTGTGAGCTGTTAAAAAATTTATCTATGATTTATCTATATCAATATATTAAATACAATACATAAAAATACTTACAATCATTCTTTGAAATGGTAGGCAATTTACGGCAGATGCTAACTTAGATCTAATCTCCTCAAGTTTATCCTTGTACGCTGATAATGGCAATGTTGGATCATGAATAGCAAAAACTTTTACTACTATGAGACCCTCTTGGCTTCTGGCTCTGGCCACTTTAAAAAATCTGGTGCTTCCTAAGCTGCATTTATTTAAATAAAAATTATGAAACACAGAAAGTATTTAACAGATTTTTGAACTATTTTAACACTTTTGAAACTATGTATTTTTAATTCATTGTATACGCACTGAAAATTCTAATAGAGATTGTTGATTACTTTTCGATTCCTATATTCATAAATGGAACTATGAAAGAAAAATTTGCATAAACATTTATTGCCAAATGGTCAAGTCAATATAACTTATGCGACTCATTGTTTACTTTAAATTATTCGAAAACATTCAACGAAAGATATAATATAATGTTTCTATCATATGAAAACCATTGTCCAATCGTTTTAATTTCCATTTAGTATGTCGAGACAGTATTTTTGAAAGAACAAACACATAGGTTGTAGCAAAAGACCAACATTACATTTGTTTAAAACTAATTGAATCTACTTACTTTACATCAAATAATAAGTCACTATGGTCCGTCAAATAATGTTCTACTGGAAATATTTGACTAGGCGCGATGCCGACTAATTGATTTCCCATTTTGCAAGTCGATGTTTAGTTGAAATTGATGTATTTGCAAGCAGCATCCATTTTGTGCCAACTTCACTCTATTCGATTTCAAGCAATGTGGACATAGACTGATTACAGTGCAAAAATATCCCTAGGTGAAATTTTCGCAACGTAATCAGCATTATTTTACATCCCAATAGAATAGGAAATACGTTACATATAACATTTCTTTCACGTTTTTTTACTGTAATTGATAAAAATCAAATGGTGTTATATATATTGCATGTACAAATAAATTGAAAATATACTTGATCATTTTTCGCATTGGTAACAATGGTAATAATACTATTTAATTTATTACTAAGAAATCTACCTTACCAACTGACTTTCCAGATTATCTTTTAAAAATATATATACATATATATATGTAAAAAGAAAATAAATGTTATTTTATACCTTTATTAAACTCAAATCATACGACCATCGTATTGTTACTTCGCTTTTGTCGTAACTGTTAAGACGTCGAGTTTAATCAAATAAAAGTATCGAAATAACGGAAAAACGAATATGTATGTATCGTTACAACTACATTAAAAACTTTACCATGCGAGTGTACCTTCAACATTAACTTGACTTACCGAGTCTCGAGTTCAAACATACCAAATTCGTGAAAGTAGTTTTATATTTACACCGTAAGTATTTGTTAATAATATATAAGTTGAAATAATTGGCGTTTTATCAATGGTTGATTTGTTTCACTTACTCCAAACACGTACTGTAACGAAAACGTGACAGTTATTATCTATTGTTTAGTTAACTGTACAAACGAGACACAAACAAGGAAGAAATAAGGGTATCTAAATACTTTATTGCATACAATCTTCGTTCGATAAAACTGATTGAAAGAAGTAAATGTAATACGATGATGACCGAAGTCGTGGAGAACGTTGAATTTGGCAGTATCGACAAAGAGAGCAACTCCATGACAGTGTCTATCATCACCATACTGTCGATGGATAGCTCTCTTCATAGTGCATGCCTTCAAAAGCATCGAAAATAATTATCTGCTGACTGTTTGTACCCAGTGCCGACGACATCAACTGTTGTCCCAGTGCTGAAACAATTTTATAAAATGCAAGCCTATCATTAAGTTCATTAATCGTACATCAGTTTACAAATATATTGACAGTCGAATAAATAATCAGTGCGCCATAATTTACACGAAGAATCGCGGATTAATTTTAACAAAGTGAGTTCTTCTTTCGGATCGAGTAGTTGTACCGTTAGCTAGAAGTATCGCTACGTCGGTTCAAATTCAAATATGGTCAATAATTTTCGCGCCATTATGGCCGTACTCGGCGCGTAACATTCGTCGAGAGGAATATTTACTTCGAAATCTTTCTATAGATCGAAGTTTGAAGCGTTAACGGAAAGGGGATCGGTTACAGGAAAGGATATACTGAAAGGTAGAAATTGTCGCCGTGGTGGAGCGTAGCAACTCTGCTTGTTATCGGGAAGGTGTGAGTAGCCTCTTCCTCTTTAGCGCCAACACCTGATTGCGCGGTAAACATAACCTCCGTGCGTTAACTCGTGCCACGAGTCGTTAACACTTCCTTTTTCTTCTTTTTTATCCTTTCAGCTTAAGTTCCAGTCTGCAACATACAATGAACTTTGAATAGAGATTTAATCGAGGAGAATTATATTACTCGAAACGCATTCGAAGCAGGTTAAAGAATATACGAATCACTTAGGGCTAGTATCAAGTACCGGAAGTGAGGTCGGTTTAATTCGAAATCGATCATGTACTTATCAGTTATTGTTGGTAAAAACGTTTAAATGTACCGTTTAAAAATATCGCGTTTTAGAGGGTTAAGCTTCAGTTATAAAATCTAATAATAGATTTCAGGTGTCGTGGAAAGTTCGATACAGAGGGTCGAATTCCGAGTAGATCAATACCAGTGTCAATAAAAGATAAGTTTGAATAATTCATTTCGTCGATAACGATTATCTGATATCGTACAGTGTGAATGAATGTTGACGATTTCCACCATGAGTTTTAGGGAATATTATATTCCACGGCAACGACTTTCTAAGAAAGTTTCATAAATGGAAATTAAACCGGAAACGCAATATAACCGAAGTGTGAACGATCGGTAAGTTGCGATCATTGAACGCGCAACCGTGACGGTCGCATTGGTCAGAATTAACAAGTACTAATTTTCAAAAAGATCATGTGGTGAAAAAAAACCTTGTTTTTCGGTAGGCTCCTGCTCTATTTGCTCAGTCGACATTCTCTCCTGTTAGGAGCAGCAGCAACTGCTTAAACAGGCAAACATTTCGTAGAGCTGAAGTAGTTTAGAGATATTTACATATATCCTCTTGGTATCTTCATTTTCTTCCTCTTATCTAAAAGAACACCTCGACATCGCGATTGTTACAAGGTGATATCGGCGAGCGTTCTAGTTTACCTTACTATAAATAATTATATGTACATGAAATTAATGAATATAATAGCATTATTAACATCGGCTCAAGTTGTTGATGAAACTATTTTTTCCGATATATAAGAAAATGTGAAAAAAGAAAATATATACCAGCGTCAAGATATACATGTATGTATCTGTATCAAGTAAATTCGTATAATATACAGATGTATAGATTATCTTTCATTACAATTAATACAGTAAATTACGAAGCGCATTACGAACGTCTATATAGCAGCGCTAACGGCTAATAGCTACGATTTTGATTGAATTATGTGCCAATCTGTTCCACCGCGACCTTATCTTGCCTATAAATAATACTGTGGTCTCAAGTGTTCAAAACGTACTTAAAAACTGCGTAACAAGTTGCAATCGCGTAATGTCATAAACAAAGTTTATGCTTTCCCCGCAAGAGAAAAACATTACCAAGTTGCACAATATAGCGTCCTTCGAAGTGACTCGAGAAACCATGGGAAAGAACACGATTTTCGTTTTCTGTGCGATTTCATCGTGTTCCAAAGAGATCAATAAAAACATTCGTTTGTTAAACGTTAAACCCGACGACAAATATCAGGTATCATCTTCGAGAGGTACCAACGATTGCGCGTTATCAGTAGACGATGCGATAAGGCGATAACGAGTCGACACGGACCGGTATTACCAAAAATCCCGGAGCATTAGTATCTTTTTTTTTCCTTCGAAACTGTGAAACATTATTGCTAGTCAAATTTAGAAACCGCATAATAAATCTATAATTCATTGTAAATTAGAATTCTGACGAAATTACGTTTCTTTATGCTATTACCTTGTGTAGTCTCTTTACCGAGAGATTATTATACCGGTCTTTTTAGATAACGAAGAACCAAGCTGAATAACGCAGTGATCTTCTTTACTCAGTCTTATTGTTTACAAACTTTATTACCTTTCGCATTATCTTTTCAAGCATTTTAATTTCAATATTCCAAAGTACGTTTCCGCAGCAAGAAAATTTGATTTTGTCCTGAAATTTCAGGGATCTGAGATCAAAATGTACAGTTTTCAATTTTGTTATCACACCGAATCTACCCATTTTATAATCAGCGTTAACGTGCTTTTGGTGCTCGTGCATTTAACGAGTGTTGCCTATCGAAATTTTATGTAGTCATGCTCTATTGTTATCTTGAACGTTACCGTGGAAAACACTGTTGCCCTGTATTTATTTTCGTGTTTAAATTTGAAATATGTTATAGGTCTGGATCTTGAAATGAAATAGGAAAGCCTAATTTTGCAAGAAACATATGGGCCTAGCAAAATAGGTGTCCAGTTTACAAAAGGAAATTCTACATCGATTGCACTTGTTACCGTAGTTGGTAAACAGAAATATTATGACAAACACAAGCCTTTTTTAACCGACGGACGACGATGCTTGAATCTATTTTCATCCAAGTATCCAAATATTCTAACTTCTCATTGATTTAATCGACATTTTTCTTCATTTCAGTTGAACGGCGAAGTCGATCGCGTTTTGAACAAGTATGATGAAAAATATATGCATAAACATTAACAAATAAGGATTTGGATGGTGCCAGGTTCCGTCGTTACTAATATTTCTGGATTTACTCGTTTTTTTCGAGGGTCAAAAGAAAGAAATCATCATAGAAGAAGCACGATTTGCGACTGAAAATTCAATATTGCTATCACGACCGCTGTAAAATGTCCCATTGCCTGTACCTATGCGTTACATAATCATCGTGCGGAGCGCGAAGCCTTCGGCGTATGTTCTCTGGCGGCAATTGTATCCCTTGAATTTACACATGAAAGGTTCACGACGGGAAGAATTCCAACTGCGAGTGTGCTACGCGGCAAGAGCTGATGGAGGAAATCTTTCCACTTGTTTGCTAACTTTGTTTCTCGAATACCTTTTCGGGTAGTCGACCGAGGCGATTGTTCGCCGCATTTACCGACGTGAAAGAAAAAGAAGATCGAGAAATCCCGCTGTCTCCTGTGTGAACGTACCTGATCGCTGTTCTCCATTATGGTACCGTAACACACCCGCTCGCGATGGACTTCCGGATGGACGTATATGCATCCCGTCCAAAGGACTGACTCTCGCTGGCACGTCTCTGTCGCGACAGACCGGTGGGATATGAGCGGAAACGTGATGGCGAAAAGGGGAGAAAAAGGAGCGGAGAGAAATACGAAAACCGTTGAACAACTTTACAGAACAAACGAACGAAGAGGTTCAAGAACGAGTGACGTGGATATCTCTCCGTGCCGTCTCATATACTCTACCTGCGCCGATCTGACGTCACGGTTGGGCTTCTTATCAGGAAGAAGCAATAACACCTGTAAGCTCGCACCTGTGTATCGGAGCTTAGCGCCAATGAGAACGCCCTGCACTCGATTTTTTCTTCTATAAAAGCTTTCACGGTAGCCACAATTATCGCCATAACGCGTAGAACGCAGCAATGGCGATGCAATTACTTCCATCGAGATTCCTCATTTTATTATATATAAATTATTAGACCATCGTGTTTTCGAATGCGTTAGTTTGCTCGATCGGTCTCTGTTGCTGTTAATTTCGTCTTGTTCTCATCACTGGCGAAAGTTAATGTCCTTATCCAAGCTTCTATTAACATATTGTTCTTTGCCGATCGTGGTTTAAAAATATTGTTAATCCTCGGTCGTACCAAATATCGTTTGATTACGTTCCCATTTCTCCGATGATCGGTGAACGTCCAATTCGGGTTTCTCGGTATCTTGGGAAACAGGATGAATTTATGGTCGTAGGACTGTCGAGCGATATCAATAGCAAACGCAGTGTTTCAGGGTAAACATTGGTTACGTGAAACGGAAAAGGAGGCGGAATAACGAGTAACAGAAACGAAACGCCGTCGGTTCGACGATGTCACGCGCGTTTGCGCGGAGTGTTGCACCTTATCTTGTGTCCCATTTACATCACCGTTGCTCGCTTTGTAGTTCTTACACAATTTCAATCGGAAGGAACAATAAACAAGGACTGGCTGCGAGTTGTTGCTCTTCGATGAACCCGTTTATTTCACAAATTACACGAGAAGAAATGCGGAACGATTCCACACTTGTGTCTACACGCACTTCCGAGTGATTATTTTTAATAAATTGTTACATAGCGATTTGATTTCACGCTATACCGTGATCGTGGAACGACTGCCAACAGTGGTAGGTGGTCTTCCTCTAAAGTAGAAAACTATCGATCAGCATTTGATCTTCCTTTCATCCTTACCATTTTTAATTACCTCCACGCGTCCTGAAAAATTTTTCTAACTTGATCGAGCATTTCTTTGTATCTCGCAAGATCCAACGATTTGTCTTGTTGCACCGTGTCCAATCTCGCCTTCAAAGCGAGACATTCTTCCTGCAATAGTTCCATTCTGTCGGACGTATCAAAAATTCTATGCACACAGCATTCGAAGTACGATGAATTTAATTCGATCTCTGTTGGTTTCTTACTTCAGCCGCGTTTCCTCGCTGTTAATGAACTCGTCATTGGTCTTCAACGATCTAGATAAGAGTCTTGATCTGTAGCCTGTATCGATTCTCATCGGTCCTACTTTTTCGGCCTCCAATCTTCGGAGTTTCACCTCGAGTTTCGCCGACTTGTATCTCTCGTCGCGCAAAGAATTCTAAAAGGGCAATAGAGCTAATTTGAAAAATATTACTTAAATTTATCTTTCACTGATTCGTACAGAGAGCAGCTCAGTCTCGGTTCTCTCTTTATCCAATCGTCTGTTTAATTCGGTAACTAGGTCCAATAGTCTTTCTCTTTCAGCTTCGGCTGCAAGTGCGAACGTCACGTACTCGTTCGGATCGCTGGAACTTCTGAAAGTTTGCGGCGGACTATGGTTCAAACTGTTTGAGTGTATCTCCGGTTGAACTTCTTCCGAACATCTCCTCCGAGCTTTGATCGACCCATCAGGAATAATTCCGTCCCTAGAATTCATTAAAATCCAATTGAACACTGTCCCAGAAACTTTTCATCGATCTTTCAACACCAAAGACAGCAAATTACCTGAGCTTATCGATCTCGATCTCTCGTTCCTCCAATTTTCTCTTCAAACGCTCGATTTGAAGCTGCGCGGATTGTAAATCGTTCCTTAAGTTCATGGACTCGCGCTCGATCTTCTCCTCCCTCATCTTCATGTCCATTTCCCTATCCTGTAGCCTTGTTTCCATAGTTTTCAACCGCTCCTGCGATTTTTCAAGGTTTATTTTCAAAAGAAAGCCGAAGAGAGATAGCGTTCTTACGCCGAGGGTCTCGATCATTTGGTCATCGTGGGATCTCTTCTCGTTTAGTACTGCGATGCACCCTTTCGCCGCATTCAATTCATGTTCCAGCACCTTTATTCTCGCCTTCGAAGCCTCCAGCTTCCTTTTCTGACTCTCGATCGCAATCTCCGACTGTCGAAGCTGTTTCACACAATTCTCAATGTACTGGCGGCGTTCCTTCTCCATGCTCCGAAGACCAGCCATACATTTCCGGTCCACGGATGCTAAGAACGCATCGACGATCGTTCAAAAATCGCTTCCTCCAGTCTCTAATTAACAGTTCTAATACCGATCGATGTCTTCTGGGTTCCTTCATAATCCGACAATCTGGATTGCAATTCTGCTACCTTCTGTTGCAATAATTGAATCTGTTCAGCTCTGCCTCGCCATCCTCCAGGCTGGTTCGACAGATTACTCAAGTTCACGTTCTCGCCCACTTCGCTGCACAGTAACTATAACGTTTGAGTTACTTATCAATCGAGCATCGACATCACTATTCTTCCAAA